TTTTAATGGTACAAAGACCTCTTATATGTAAAAAGAACAAGGACAAGTTATTTTTGACTTTTTTCACACTTGGTTTCAACCTTTCAGGGAGGAAAATTGCCAATATAAAAATTAACCATGGTTTTACTACAAATAAAACAAACAAACAAAAAAAACGTGGTTACTAGTTAAACCATGGTAACCAAAAATTAACAATGGTTTTGCTACACTAACCATGGTTGAACCATTGTATTTGTAGTAAAACTGTGGTTATACCAATGGTAATCAATAAGCCAAAAAAAACATGATTACTAAACTTTTATTATAATAAAACAATGTTTAATTTTCGTGAGGGAAGGAGTTTTGTCCTGGGCCTTGTGATGAAGGAGGCCCAATAGATCTTAGTCTGGTTAGATGCCATATTGAATTGAACATAGATGACAACAAGGATAGACTTGCAGTCTTTGTAATGGCACACACTGTATAAAGGTCCTAGATAATGCAATTTTCACAACTCAAACTGTTTTATTGAGGTTTTATATCTGAAGTTTTTTTTTTTTGGAAAGACGTTTTGTCAGCTAAACAACCGGTATGTTGTTTAAAAAAAATAATAATAAGAGTACAATCCACTGAATGCACTTTATTTCTATCCCTCATAACTGTGGTTATACCAATGGTAATCAATAAGCCAAAAAAAACATGATTACTAAACTTTTATTATAATAAAACAAGGTTTAATTTTCGTGTGGGAAGGAGTTTTGTCCTGGGCCTTGTGATGAAGGAGGCCCAATAGATCTTAGTCTGGTTAGATGCCATATTGAATTGAACATAGATGACAACAAGGATAGACTTGCAGTCTTTGTAATGGCACACACTGTATAAAGGTCCTAGATAATGCAATTTTCACAACTCAAACTGTTTTATTGAGGTTTTAAAAAAAAGTTTTTTTTTTTTTGGAAAGACGTTTTGTCAGCTAAACAACCGGTATGTTGTTTAAAAAAAATAATAATAAGAGTACAATCCACTGAATGCACTTTATTTCTATCCCTCATAACCTTGTTTTCATTCCTGTCAAAAATTAAACATGGCGCTACCCTGATTAAAGTCTATTGGTTGATGTCTTGCTCTAGACGCAGTCATATGCAAATGTATTTACCTGTGTGAAATCAAAAATCTTTGAAAAATTTTTGGAGCTTGGTTAAATAAATGCTCTTTTTGACCTGAGAAAGAGTTAAAAGCTACAAAACGTGTAAGTTTTGCAGTTTAAACGTGTGGTTTTAATGGTACAAAGATGTCAAGACATCAAGGAAAATTTGATTTCTCATGTCACGACTTTTTTTTACATTTGGCTTCCACCTTTCAGGGTGGAAACATGGGGATTTTGTCCCGGGCCTCGTGATGGAGGAGGCCCACTGAAGTTCATATGGTATATTCTACTCACAGGACACAATGAAAAGGGGCTCACCCATAAAATGTATTTCCAGTCACTGCTATCCAAGTTTGCCTGACTTAACTACATTTTCTCGGATACCCAGGAAATGAGCGGGCTCTGATCAGAGCTCCTAAAGCCGATCCCTCCTTGGTGTGTTGACACATTACAGCCTTATATGTCTACCGTGATGAAATTCTAAATACCGTGAAATACTGCTTGTGGTTCCAGCAAACCCATCGTTTCATCACAGCTGCTCTATACAGCTGGGTTCATCAACCATAACTCCTTCCAGGACAGCCAGAAACCTAGGAGTTGTGATCGATGATCAGTTAAGCTTCACAGACCATATTGCTACAACGGCCCGGTCCTGCAGATTTGCCTTATTCAACATTAGGAAGATTAGACCCTTCCTGTCAGAGCAAGCCACACAACTTCTTGTCCAAGCTCTTGTTCTCTCCAGACTGGACTATTGTAATGCTCTCTTGGTGGGCCTTCCCGCATGCACCATCAAGCCTCTGCAAATGATCCAGAATGCAGCAGCGAGAGTGGTCTTCAATGAGCCAAAAAAAGCTCACGTTACAACTCTCTTCATCAGGTTACACTGGCTACCAGTAGCCGCTCGCATCAAATTCAAGGTACTGATGCTTGCCTACAAGACCACCACTGGCGCTGGACCAATGTACCTAAACTCGCTAGTTCAAACTTATGCGCCCTCCAGAAGCTTGCGTTCTGTAAGTCAGCGACGCCTTGTGGTGCCATCCCAAAGAGGCACAAAATCACTCTCACAGACCTTTTCCTGGACTGTGCCCGGCTGGTGGAATGACCTCTCGATCTCAATTCGAACAGCTGAGTCTTTAGCCATTTTCAAAAAACATCTAAAGACACATATTTTTCACCAGCACCTGACCAACTAATACTGGCACTTACCTATTCTATTCTGTTCTATTCCATTCTATTATTTAATAATAAAAAATAAAAAAATCTAGCTACGTGTACGGTGCTAGACTAACTGAGACTTGTCATGGCACTTGTATACTGTTGTTCTCTCGTTGGTCTGATTGCTTCTATTGTTCTCATTTGTAAGTCGCTTTGGATAAAAGCGTCTGCTAAATGATTAAATGTAAATGTAAATGTGAAATGGTTACAGACCATAATTTAGGCAGGAGATGACAGAAGGTCGGACACCTAAACGTCTCGGCAGCCGTTCACTCGGAAACACTGGGTATGTTGACATCCTCACTGTGAGATGAATGAAACAGGTGCAGCCTTTCATAAGCATCCACACCGCACTCTGAAGTAAAAGATGGATTTAAACGGTAAAGGCTACTGGGATTTACACATTTTTTTAAGAGAATAAATGTCAGCGGTACAACTTGTCACCTTCTGTCATCACTGAGCCCATTTCTATTTAAAGCGGAGCGGAAATGAAACAAATTACAGCATGTATGTTTAAATATGCAGAGCTGTATTTCACACACACCTATGGAAAGTCATATAAGCTCATTTAAAAAGCTGTGAAATGGCGTTAGGCTCTTTGCTGTAGTTCATCGAAGCCACACACACACACACACACACACACACACACACACACATAAAGTCACCGTGACAGAGTTTATTCAGAATAAAAAATAGCGTCCCAGATCTCTCACTGGATTGCTCTCTGGAATACTTCATTTCAACACATATTCAGATAAATGCATCCAACAATTACCTGTGATGGAGATGTCGGTGGCGTATTGAGATGGATCGCTGTGTGATGATGTGGGTCTACACTCAGGTGGATCAATGAGCGGTCTGGGATTGAAAATGTACAGATGAGGGCTGGAAAGGCTGTATTATAGCACTCTGCCCTTTCGGGATGGGGCCTTTGGCTCTTTTTTTTTGAATGAACTCCTTTTAACACGCCTCTGCAAATAGATTTAATAGATTTTCCCCCAGCACCGTGATTATATGGGCTTAGTGTAAATATTTTGCGACCGGTCCAAAATGGGATGTGCTTGTTGCAGTGGGTTTGCAAATGTCAGCTAAAGCAAACGAACACGGCGAAAATTAGACGTGAGTCATCGAAACCTGTATGTACCTGTATCACATAAAACATTTTAATGGCGCACAATTTGTTTAAATTGCTTCTCATGATGAATAATATAAATATTTGTGTTACTATGTGCACTTTTTAGACTGTGATGTGTACTTGCTTTACTTGTTTGCATTTTGCAGGCTAAAAATAGGAATGAACGAGTGAACGAATTAACGAATGAGAACTAAATTGTAATGAACTGGAACATGAGCTAAGGAAAAAACAAAATTAAAAGAAAAAAACACCATAATTATTGCTTGAATGTGGGCCTTTTTATTTAAGAAATCCATATCTGTGCCTGGGATCTAATCAATAAAATGTGTTAAATAGGATTGGAATGGAAAAGCTGCATTATAACTGGGCCAAGACGGGCTGCAGCGTTTCTCCATGTGTGTCTGAGGATCTTGATATCCTGCGTAATTGGGTAACAGACCATGATGAAAGCGGTTGACTGAGTTTGAGTTATTGCACTCAAAATCCGCTTCAGAACATCACTCAGCACTGTGTAGCCTATATAGACCAACCAACAAGACCTAAATTGACATTGTAATAGCTGAAGAAAAACAAGAGTTTTCCTCTTTAAGACTGTACCTAATGTACTCAGAAAGATGCGTAAAGTTGTACACAGCCACATGGAAATAAATAGAAAAATAAATGCAATCTTTGAATGAATTCTCCCACATTATATGAATCATATAAATTCAACAAAACTGCAATGTGGCTGTGTAGCTTGTCACCCTCCTTGCCAGATTGCATCTCCAGCATTCATTTCAAACACATTTCTTTTTAAATGATGCTAATAACACTTATTTTATTTCGTATCTAATTATATATCTATTAATTAAAGAATGCATGTTAATATTTAACATCTATTAGGATTTATAAATATTAAATGATTATTAAATGTAATTTTATTAAATTTTTACTAATATATATATATATATATATATGTGTGTGTGTGTCAAAAATGTTAATTTAATTATGTTATTTAATTGTATTATTTAATTAAGACATTTTAGTTTTATTATGTATTTTTATATACCTCTGTCAAATATCATATATATATATATAATTTATTTAATTATTATCAGTTTTATTATTATATCACATCAGTTGGTTGTAACATAATTTGTAGTCCAATACAAAAAAAAATTAAGAAAGAGTTAATTTAAAAAAAAAATAAAAAATTAATAGAGTTCTTGTCAGGTTTTGACAAAATGTTCTTCCCTTCCTGAGATCCAAATAATCCCCCTGCCACAGTTCACTTGATTTACCTGGCCATAAACTATCTCTGTGTCGGACGAGGAATCTCTATAGCTTCTCCTCTCTCTATGAATAACCGTTTCTCCACACTTTTGGCCCCAAGCATGTTTTTGACAAAGACACACACGCACCATGTGGAGTTTCACCTGACTAACTTTTCCACATTTTTGTGCCAGTTTGCTCAAAGTTTCTGAGGCACAAAGGAACAGCAAAAGGCTTTAAATGAACCAGCATATTTTATTAGTGCCATATGATGAACCAAAGAATGTTCCATAATGAGATTCCCAGCCTTCCTTTAGAAATATCAAGGGCTTTCTTAGCAGCGGCTGGAGCGGGAAACACCTCTCCTACCCCATTCCTACAATGCCAGCCCTCAAATTCAAGATCAGAACCACCGGAACTCCTCATAAATACATCGCATTATACATAAAGACACAGTACTGGGCAGGAAATCAGCTGTGGCGATGCCACAACAATGTTGAGTCTCCAAGATCGGTTAGTTGAAGTAGCTTATGTCCCAATAGCACATTATGAGCTTTGAGAAGAGAACTGTTTACTTCCACCCAAAGCATTACCATTCTATTATTGATCAGAAATAGCCTATGTCTTCTCTTCAGTCAAGTTGAACAGAATGATATTAAATCTCCGTTTTCCTCAAGGGGATCTCCAAATGGTTGAACTGACGCATGAGGAACTATAAAAGAAAGAAGAAAAAGCTTCATTTCTCTCCACATTTCATCAGGAATTGATTTTGGAGTGCTAGAAGGTTATTTGGCCTTTAGGAACTTTTAGTCTTTTGAATTGGCTCCCCACCCCACAAAAATATGATTTTACACTGAAACTCTCAATGAACAGCACAGTTTCATATTGACCCCGTGTGACACTATTTACATGTGTACAGGTAGGTTTCCCGCTGGCCTTTGTGTTTGAATAACCACATTCATTTCTAGAAAAGTGCCTTGCAAATTCAGATTCTGTAGGTTTAACTGGCGCTTCCACAGAAACAGAGATAACACGATGACGTCAATGTTAGAAATTAGTTTCTCCAGCTCTGGAGCTGAACAGGTTCCAGTTGGTCCAAAATCACGGGCCCGTCAGAATAGATGTCTCGAAAGTCTTGAGTCTGTTTACTGATCACAGCGAAGCAAGAAGCTGAGAAACACACAAATCCAGACAGGTAGCGATGCCGCGGAAAACACACGAGCCGAGTTCTGCTGTGTTTCGAAGGATGCGGTGGAGTCAGACCAAAGCCTCACCTTCACAGAGTCCTGAGGAACGAGAGGAGAAAGCATTACCAGTTTGGTTTAGAATGGGATTTGCAAACCAGACTACATTTGCATTTCACCCCCAAAAAAGGTTAAAGTTTTGGTCGTGTGCACATTAGGGTCAAAAATTTTCCATTGAAAGACAATATTTAACCCCTGGAATTGATTTCCAGCGACATCTTTTTGACCTTTGCAATGGCGAATTTTAAATATTATACTAAATGTATCTATGAAAGCCCGTTTCTGCCACTGAATTTAAATGAATAAAAAATAAATAAATAATTGAGACTTTTTATCTTGCAATTCTGACTTCTTTTCTCAGAATGTTGAGATATAAACTTGCAGTTGCAAATGATAAAGTCCAATTCGGAGGGGAAAAAAAGATGATTTTCTTACAATTGCGGGTTTATATCTCACAATTCTGATTAATATACTTAAATTTACTGTACCAACTAATTCAATCAGAATACTATAACCTGTTACCAATACAAACATTAACAAAAGCCATCTTTACACTGCAAAGGTGGAACAGAAGCTGCATCTGACATGGCATTTATGCAGGCTGATTAATGTTGCTCAAAGGTGATATATACAGTATGTATAGTATTTACACAACAACTGCATAATGTGAATAGCCAAAGTACAAAAAAGAATAGACGAGTATCGATATAGTGTTCAGTTAGTATATTATATGGCATTAAGTTTGAAAAAGTAATGCATTACAATATGGTGTCATTCCATATAAAAGTAACTAATTGCATTACTTAGTTACTTTTTTATAGAATGTAATGCATTATGTTACTTTTGTGTTATTTTTTGCCACCTGGGCTGGGCTTGCCCACTTAACATTCCTGTGGCTCAGTGGTAGAGCATTGCATTAACAGCACAAAAGGTTGTGGGTTCGATTCCCAGGAAACACTCATACTGGTAAAAAATGTATAGCCTGAATGCACTGTAAGTTGCTTTGGATAAAAGCGTCTGCTAAATGCATAAACTATTATTATTAAAATCACAAAGAAATGAAGGGTCTGTAATTTTTACGGTAGGTTTATTTTAACGGATGGAGACAGAATATCAACCAAAAAATCTGGAAATTGATTTGCATTTCAGTGAGTGAAATAAGTATTTGATCCCCTACCAAGCAGCAAGAATTCTGGCTCCCACAGATTGGTTATGTGCCCATGTGGAACACAGATGAGTCCTGCCACTTTAAGAAGTTATTCCTAATGTCAGCTCGTTAGGTGTATAAGACACCTGTCCACACAATCTGTATCTTCCATTCCAACATCTCCCACCACCATGGGCAAAACCAAAGAGCTGTCAAAGGATGTCAGAGACAAGATTGTAGATCTGCACAAGGCTGGAAAGGGCTACAAGACCATCAGCAAGAAGCTTGGTGAGACGGACACAACTGTTGGTGCGATTATTCGGAAATGGAAGAAATACAAACAACCATCAATCGGCCTCGGTCTGGAGCTCCGTGCAAGATCTCGCCTCATGGGGTAAGGATGATTTTGAGAAAGGTGAGGGATCAGCCCCGAACTAAACGGGAGGAGCTTGTTATTGATCTTAAGGCAGTTGGGACCACAGTCTCCAAGCAAACCATTGGTAACACACTACGCCGCAATGGACTGAAATCCTGCAGCACCTGCAAGGTCCCCCCTGCTCAAGAACGCACATGTACAGGCCCATTTCAAGTTTGCCAATGAACATCTAAATGATTCAGAGAAGGCTTGGGAGAAAGTGCTATGGTCAGATGAGACCAAAATTGAACTCTTTGGCATTAACTCGACTCGCCATGTTTGGAGGGAGAGAAATGCTGAACACCATCCCTAAAGTCGAGCACGGACGTGGAAACATTTTGGGGCTGTTTTTCTGCTAAGGGTACAGGACGACTTCACCGCATTGAAGGGCAAATGGACGGGGCCATGTACTGTAAAATCTTGGACGATAACCTCCTTCCCTCAGCCAGAACACTGAAGATGGGTCATGGATGGGTCTTCCAGCACGACAATGACCCGAAACATACCGCCAAGGCAACAAAGGAGTGGCTCAAGAAGAAGCACATTAAGGTCATGGAGTGGCCTAGCCAGTCTCCAGAACTCAGTCCTATAGAAAATCTGTGGAGGGAGCTGAAACTTCCAGTTACCAAACGACAGCCAAGAAACCTTAAGGATTTAGAGAGGATCTGTAAAGAGGAGTGGATCAAAATCCCTCCTGAGATGTGTGCAGACCTGGTGACCAACTACAAGGAATGTCTTACCTCTGTGCTTACCAACAAGGGTTTCTGCACCAAGTCATGTTCTGTTTGGTGAGCGTGATTTGATCAATCACAACATGTTCCTGGATCAACATCCTTGTTGATCCAGGAACATCATTCCAATCAACCAATCAGAATTGAGAGATAACTTTTCAGCAAATGTCAGTTTTAGGCTTACGATCAGGGTTAGGTGCTTCTACACCCTTGTTAATCAGCTATCATTTCCCTCTGATTTTAGGAATAAATTATGGGTAAGGTTAGATTTAGGGGTAGGGATTGGGTTAAGTCTGTATTTTAGGACAGTAATGTTGAACCAGGATCAACAAAAGAAGTTGATCCAGGAACATGTCTTACTTGGCAAAGTCACGGCGACTGTTTTGTTTGGGGATCAAATACTTATTTCACTCACTAAAATGCAAATCAATTTCTAACCATTATATAATGTGTTTTTTCTGGATTTTTTGGTTGGTATTCTGTCTCTATCCGTTAAAATAAACCTACCATAAAAATTACAGACCCTTCATTTCTTTGTAAGTGGACAAACTCAAAAAATCAGCAGGGGATCAAATAAATATTTCCCTCACTGTATTTGTTTTTTAATAACAAAAAAAGTTAGATTTTTTTGGGAACTGTAAAGGCCGTTTGACACCAAAATTGAAATTGATAAGCCCCAGGCTGATAGAGGTGTGTCTGCACCTCACTTCTAATCTCTCTCAATGCGGGGACAGGAGAGATGTCAGTGAATAAATGGGAAAACAAAGTAACTCGTGTTATTTGAAAAAGTAACTCAGATATTTTGTTGCAAATTTAAAAGTAATGCAATACTTTACTAATTACTTGAAAAAGTAATCTGATTACGTTCAGATTCCATCAACATTCCATTCACTCTATTTATTCCATTTTAGTTTCATTAATCACACAGCCCTGGTTTTACCGTAAGAGACTCTCCATTTGCGATGTTATACAGCTCTCGAAAAATCGGCACAATTTTGCAATCTCTCAGCAGCACAGATGAAATGGCTCTTTATTGTGTAAAGCCGGTTCCTTCAGAGACACACTACAATCAAGGCAGTAATAAACCCATAACCGAACTGCTCCCCATCTCTAACCCTCACCTGTGTGGGTTTGGCTGGGCTCAGAGCGTTCTGTTCCGTCTCCATCGTGACAAACACAGTCGTCCTCCATGGCCCTCGGTCCGTCACAGGGCTTAACCGCGGCAGTCGTGTGGGAGTGGGTGTGAAGTCCATTCCATTCCCGAACGTCAGGAGAGCGTTCCCTATTCATGCAACAGACAAGACGTCCACATCATTTCCATTCGCAACTGTTCGTGTTATCAGACGCTTATTTGAATTCTGGTCTAAGCGGCGCTCAGTATTCTGCTCAGGCTGCGCTTCTGCACCTGCCTCTCCACATCCTCTCATTAACTCACAGATGAGTGGCTTGACCAAACATCACTCTCATCCGCTCACATCGCTCACTCCGAGAGCTGCCACTCGGCTGTCTGAGGAGTTACTTCATGTAAGAGATCTCTGTTTGAACAGGACCGAGCAGAATATTGCCACGGAGTCGGCCATATTGATGAATCGTGATATATATAATACATAAGGGATTCCAGGAACGGGACTGGAGGAGTGTGACTGAGAGGGTGCTGGATATCAATCAGACATTCATGTATGCTCACGGCTCAGAATAAGCTTTGCACTTCAGATAGCTCTTTACTTTCAAACGTCTGCGGCCTACTCGATGTCAGACAGTAAACAGCAGCAGAAGATCTAAATACAGACTGTTAATGGGTGCTTCTTCTATATCGGCACAGTGAAGTTTTAGAAAACAAACTCATTTGTGACCCTGGAGCACAAAACCAGTCTCAAGTCGCTAGGGTATATTTGTAGCAATAGCCAAAAAAACATTGTAGGGGTCAAAATTATTGATTTTTCTTTTATGCCAAATTTCATTAGGACATTAAGTACAGATCATGTTCCATAAAGATATTTTGTAAATTTCCTACTGTAAATATATTAATTTTTGATTAGTAATATGCATTGCTTAGAAATTCATTTGGACAACTTTAAAGGCGATTTTCTCAATATTTGGATTTTTTGTACCCTCAGATTCCAGATTTTCAAATAGTTGTATCTCAGCCAAATATTGTCCTATCCTAACAAACCATACATCAATGGAAAGATTATATATTCAGATGATGTATACATCTCAATTTTAAAAAAATTTAGCCTTGACTGGTTTTGTGGTCCAGGTTCACATTTCACTAGCTGAATTTATTGTCATTTTTGTCAATTTTATATGAAATAAAAATATCACTTTGCAACATCTCAAATCATATTTCAGTCAGTGGTGGAAATTATGGTGGTGGGAATGATACATAATCAGTGGGGTCTGACGAAGAGCCTGCGTGCTCGAAACGTCACATATGCTATGCGACAGTTTAAAAAAAAAAGAATTTTTTTGATACTTTTGGAGCTTTGGTGTTGCCGACTTTACATTTAAAAAAATGTCCACATGTTTCTTAGTCGAGCACCCAGTTGAGATCAATGTGCGTGCTTTTGCCTGCTCTTCACTGAAATGATAGATAAAAAAAATATTTTATTATTGGGGACCCCCCAATACAGTAAAACTGCATATTTTAGAGTGGCCTTTTATTGTGGCCAGCCTAAGGCACACCTGTGCAATAATCATGCTGTCTAATCAGCATCTTGATATGCCACACCTGTGAGGTGGATGGATTATCTCGGCAAAGGAGAAGTGCTCACTAACACAGATTTAGACAGATTTGTGAACAATATTTGAGAGAAACAGGCCTTTTGTGTACATCGAAAAAGTCTTAGATCCTTGACTTCAGATCATGAAAAATGGGGGCAAAAACAAAAGTGTTGCGTTTATAATTTTGTTCAGTGTATATAGTTTGTTTGTTTGTAATTTCATAGGTAGCATTTTATGTATTCTAAGTAGTTTGTGTTATAGTTAACACTTTTTATGTAATTTGGAACAGAACTGACAATAAATATGTAAAAGTGATTAAAAATAGTAAAAATGTAAAATGGCAAAATAAATCTATTTAATATTTAAACTACCATTCAAAAGTAAGATTTTGTTTTAGAAAATTAATTTTATTCATCAGAATTGACTGAAAATATTTTTTTATTTCAAATAAATATTGTTCTTTCTATTTATCAAAGCATCTTGAAATCTATCACAGTTTCAACAAAAATATTCAGCAGCACAAGTGTTTCCAGCACTGATAATAAATCAGCATATTAGAATGATTTCTGAAGATCACGTGATACTGAAGACTGGAGTAATGATCACAGTTTTGATCACAGCAATACATTACATTTTATTAAAATATTATATTAAAATAATATGAACCATTAAATAAAAAAATTTTGCACATTAAATTAAAAATTGTTTATGTCACTAATCCTCTAAATTACAATTTTTATAAAAAAAATCTAATTAATATTTTAGCAAGGATTTTTAAAATATAAAGGTGTTTGAAAAACTAAGATGAAAGCATGTGATCTTAATATAAGAAAAAGTAAGTATGCTCTTAGAAAATCTCTTAGTTTTGGAAATCTTTAAAGCCTGGGATAAAAAAGTGCATATAGTTGAAGAAACAACCCATTTATTCTTTCAACATGGATTTCAAGATTAATATTAAGGGTTAGGTAAAGGCAAACCCTAGATTTTTTAAAAATAATTATTATAACTTTACTTTACAATTCTTATGATAGTCCTACATAGATAAACCCTGTTACTAAATACAATCCACAGGCAGACAATCTGTAAGAGTGACACTCTTCAAAAGCTTTTCTAAAAGTATGTCCTGGTTCTGCTTAAGTGGAGAATCAGGACGCAAGCGACGAGAGACAGACGAGGTGATTTCTGAAATGTTCTGTCATTTGAGAGAGGCAGGCTGACTGTTTGGTCTTCTGCGCAGCGGCGGTGAACGCTAGGTTGATGTGACATACAGTAAAACAGAGAACGTATGACTAATGGTGCAGTGAATAGCAAGAGGAGACTTCATACTGTTCTGTGCTGCTGTGAAGGACATTCAGCTTTAATACAAACTTTAAAGAATTATAAAAGTGTTTATGGGTGGCTAAAAGTAATTATATTTATGTCAGCATTGCCTGTTTAGAAAACGTCTGCACGCTATAAATGCATTTCCCCTCCTTGCCAACTGCTGTGGCCTTCATTCGTAAATGCACTCGTTGTTTAAATGCATGCAGTGTTTAAAATTCATTTCTGAATTTAAGATTCAGAAACTTCTGACTATGATAAATAGAGATGACACTATTCAGCCGATAGCGATAGCCGATTATTCAGAATATCTGCCGATACTGATAATGATAGTTTAGTTTTCTTTATGAAAAAAAATGCAGCATTGTTAACGCTGTGTGACACTATGAACCAAGGGCTAAACGATCTTCTAAATGATTCCCGAAACGTGATTTGAAGTTCCGATATGAATCAAATGATTTGCGATACACAATCTGACTGGAGCGCTTCAAAACAGTGAATCATTTTGCGACGCAGTGATTTAAATGATTAATTATTTAACTGACTAATGATAAATCTGTTGCATCTCACTCGGGTTTAAAACAGAGCCAGTGGTTCTGCTCTGACATTACAATGTTGACTAACAATAACCAGAGAGTTCTTCTGCCAGACTACACATGCAACGTCCTTTCACATATCACATGATCGAGACTCATATATGACGGCTGACACAGACAAGGTACAGTACAGGAGCTTTGACTCACTGAGACAGACGTTGTTGGTGAAATATTCCAGGAACTCAGTGCACTGATCTTTCAGATTCCCGCTGGCCGAACACGAGCACCAGGGAGACACGTTGGATGTGGAGTTGTCCACATAGTTTGGTGTGATCGGGCTGCCTGCGATACCAAAATGCATTTAGACATTTGTGATTTCCCATAATCTGAGCAATACACAAAATAGCACCGAAATACTGCATAACAGATATATGGATTTTATTAATCTAAATGTACACAAGACTTGACTTATGATAACCTATGAATATTGTCCCTCTATATGGAGCTATAATGATTTTTTTACTCATAATTATACATTAAGAAATCTATTTTATATATATATATATATATATATATATACTGTGTGTACACTGATGATGGTGAAAACTTTGAAATAATTTAGAATTTTTTTTAATAATTTTGAAAGTCATCTCTTCAGCTCTCCAAGGCTGCATTTATTCGATCAAAAATACAGTAAAACCCGTAATATTGTGAAATATTATTACAATTGAATATGTTTTTTATGTGAATATATGTTAAAATTTAATTTATTTATTTGATCAAAGCTGAATTTTCAGCATCATTACTCCAGTCTTCAGTGTCACACGATCCTTCAGAAATCATAATAATATGCTGATTTGTTGCTCAAGAAATATTTCTGATTACTATTAATGTTGAAAACAGATGTGCTGCTAAATAATTAATGATAATAATAATAATAATAAGGATAAGTATGAATTTAAAAAATAATAACAGTTTTATTTGATTTCTGAAGATCATGTGACACAGAAGACTGGAGTAATGATGCTGAAAATTCAGCTTTGATCAAATAAATAAATTAAATTTTAACATATATTCACGTAAAAAACACATATTAAATTGTAATAATATTTCACAATATTAAGTTTTTTACTGTATTTTTGATAGAATAAATTCAGCCTTGGTGAGCAGAAGATACTTCTTAAAAAAAATCTTAATTCCAAACATTTGGCCGCCAATGTATAAACATATAGATTTAATATTAGGCCTATATGTTTATTTAGAAAATTAAACTTCCTGTCAGAAGTATGTCTGTTGAATTGAAAATTTTGTTTAAAAAGAGATTTATTTAAAAGGGATTCTGTTTGCTCAATACATAGCAAATGAGCATGAAGCAGAACTAAACAAACAAAAAGGCTCTATGTAACAGAAAGCCTCATAAAAAATATTGCTTTCAATCTATTTTATTGGGAAGTGAAATCAATCTCTCCGTGACTTTAAAAGTGCCTGGGTAGTTTTATAGTCTCTCATCACAGACGCACAGGTGTCCCTGTGTTTCTTTGAGTAAGGCAATAACCAAGGTATCACTCTCCAAACCAACTGCATCAGCCTCGCTCCTGTTTTAATGGCCAGCCACAATCATGCATGCAATTCCTTTTCCAGTTTGCAGAACAATTGTCTAAAACAGCTTTAAAGTACTCACCTATCAGTCCAGTGTAAGCAATAAGACATGCAGCATAGTTTCCCTGTTTGCAGCCGGTGGCAGACTGCTCTTCTGGCTGGCAGTCGTACTGAAACTGGGCCAAACGGGACCTGCAGAACAAACACAGCCGTATATGCAAGGACAGCAGCCAAGCAGACAGAAGTGTGTCGGCCATACTGACATAATCATGACGAACGATCACCGACGTCTAAGGGGCCGTTCACAATATGCTACAATTCCATTGATTTTCTATGTAAACGCACTAGACAGACATGTATGACCGATGCACTCGCGTCTTTTGAAGCTTCTCGCACATGATGAGCACCACATTTTTAAGACACTGTGTCAAGTTAAAACAGTTTTATTTGATGGCAGAGGAGGCGTTCAGTGCCACATAATTTTTTTGTGCTGTGTTTCGTGATTTTAGACAGACGTGGTCAGTGTGTTCTCTGCGGCCCCTAAATCTGGTTTTGCTTCACAGGATGTTTAAGATTACATTGGACATCAAGTGGCAACCCAACACAGTACCAAAATTGTTTCACATACACATGTAAACTAAACGTCTTTTAATAGTAACTCTTAACCCGCCATTGACGGAACTTTCCGGTTTTCAGGTTTTTTTTACTGTTATATGGTAGGAGGTGCTATTGTGCTTCTTCTAAACGAGTACCGAATGTCTGGATCAAAACACGGTGAAGAAGAATCAGAAACAAGTGACCGCATACAGATGCATATGTAGGGTAAACAGTGATAATTTAATAATTTAGCTCAAAGGG